GAAATACCTCTGTCACTGGAGGCTGATGTAGCACTGCAGGCCTGGGCAGTGAGCTGACTGGGCCTTGGCATGGAGGAAGAGCCCTCCGCGCTGGAAGTGCAGTCAGGGTGCAGGGCTTGGAGAATGGAGTGCAGGCTGGACTAGGGTTGCCCCTGGCCTGGCAGGTCCACAAAGGTCTGTGCCTGCAGCCTGGAGCCCCTCACCCCTGCAGGAGCCCCAGATGCAACCTCCCTCTGATCCTCCCTGGGGGGTTCCTACCTGCAGGCACCACTCCACCTCACCCCTAGCTAGGGGGGATCAGAAACCCAAGAAGTGGTCTCTGCCTCGTTTGTCGCCTTTTTTCTTCTCTTTCCCTGTTACCTGGGAACTCCAGTTATGCTGTCGCCTCTCTCCTGACTTCACTCTGGTTTCCCATAAATCTCTGTGTTTCAAGCTTGGCACCCTAAGCTGTTAATACATGAGCAAGACTAATTCACTAAAAAGCCAATTTGTCAGGTGAGCAACTCTCCCACATTCTGGAGAATTTTTGAAGAGTTAACTTTGCCCCAAACCTGCCCCAACTCTATCCCCAACCCCAGAAGCTGTCATAAAAATACTTACCTCTTGGGGCTGGCACTATGGCATAGTGGGTAAAGCCTCCACCTGCAGCACCGGCATCCCATGTGGGCACCGGTTTGTGTCCCGGCTGCTCCACTTCCTTTCTAGCTCTCTTCTGTGGCCTGGGAAAGCATTGGAGGATGGCCCAAGTCCTTGGGCCCCTGCATCCGCATGGGAGACCCAGAGGACGCTCCTGGCTCCTGGCTTTGGATCGACTCATCTCTGGGCGTTGCGACCAGTTGGGGAGTGAACCATTGGATGGAAGACCTCTCTCTCTGTCTCTCTCTCTCTCTCTGCCTCTCCTTCTCTCTCTGTGTAACTCTTTCAAATAAACCTTTTAAAAAAAATATTTACCTCTGGGCAGGGAAGGTTTGCAGGGTTATTGAACTGCCCGAGGCAGGAACAATAGCAGAAGCAGGTTACCCAGCTGTACAAGGGGAGTGCTGGTATCTAGCCCTGGTTTTTTCTTAGGACGAACTCATGTGATACAAAGAAAGCATGTACAACAGTCTAGCAGGCAAAACACAGCACCCAATCAGAATAATTTTCAATATTCACTTTACACATGCATTTAAACAATATGCACATTTAAACTGCACATGAAATGAAGACAAAAAACAACAATTTAAATGGAGATGCCAGGATATGAAAACAATAATCACCAGGGCTGCTTCAGTGCCCATATTGGTTTTTTTTTCTTTATTTTTTAAAGATGTATTTATTTATTTGAAAGGTAGGCTGACAGAGACGGGGAGACAGAGAAAAAGAGATCTTCCATCTGCTAGTTCACTCCCCAAATGGCTACAACAACCAGGGCAGAGTCACACTGAAGCTAGGAGCCAGGAACTGTATCCAGGTCTCCCACGTGGGTCACAGGGACCCAAGGACTTGGGCCATCTTCTGCTGCCTTACCAGGTGTATTAACAGGGAGTTGGATTGGAAGTGAAGCAGCCAGGACTTGAACAAGAACTCCCGTGGGAGTGCCAGCTTCCCGAGTGGCAACTCAACCCATTGAGCCACAACATAGGTCCCTTCTCTCATTTTTTAACTAAGAATATTCACTTGAAAGTCAGGAAGACAGAGAAAGAGAAGCATCATGCAAAGAGAGACAAACAGGCAGACAAAGAAAGCTCCTATCCACTGGTTCACTCTCCAAATACTCCCACTTACCTGGCTGGTTCAAAGCTGGGGGCAGGAATCTTAATCCAGGCCCCCCACGTGGGCAACAGAAACCCAACTGGTTGAGCCGCAGGCCAGTGCGCCCAAGGATGTGCAATAGTAGGAAGCTGGAATCGGGAGCAGAGGCAGGATATGAACTCGGGCACTCTGAGGATGGAATTAAGGGTGTCCCAAAAGGTGTCATAACCTCTAGGACAAATGCCTGTCCATGGCCCATACTCTTGGTCTCATCATTGACCACAAGTTTTGTAATTACACCTAGCGGCCAGGGTGTACATATACAGCTATACTTATGAACCTTATAATGAATTTTTGGGAATTTTCAACAGTGACTCTGACAACAGGTGATTTTTATCTTACAGACTTAAAACCAGATCATGAATGCGTGACTATCCCGCATTGAGAATCTTGGAAGAGGTGGCACAGGGTATGAAATCCATCGTTTAAAGAGTATCTCTTATAAAGACAAGACTATCAAGGACAAGCTGTGGGGAGCACTTCTTTCACAAATTACTAGAAGATCTTAAAAAGGCAGAAAGTTGATCTAGAACTAGAGACGTGCTGTCGTCACAGAATCCATGTATGGAGGACTCCTCCCCATGCAGACAAGAGCCAAAGGCAGCTGACTTGACTGATGGAACCCTGGAAGAAGAGAGGGAGCTGCAGTTGTGTGCTGGTTCTCAGACTTCAGGGAGCATCAGACCCTGCTGCCTCATCTGTCTGAGGCTTGGCTACGCTTGAAACAGCTCTCACTGGGAAAATGACAAGACTGCGACTTTCTAAGTGATGCCAAGTTGAACCAATGATTTTTCTCAAAGAAAAAATTGATCAATCTAATCAAATTGACTAAACCAGTTGGTTGTTCTAATAGAGTAAATCACTTCACATTTGTAGGCAAGCTAGAAGCCATGTTCTTTCATGCAAGCGTGTTATTGTTTTTATGTCCAATGCTTAGACACAGATTGTTTCCCTTGACACTCAGGTCATTGTCATTGGGTGATTCGGCTCTAGAATCAGGTAGACTTGGTTTTGATACTTTCTCCTGTCACACGGTATATTTTCTTAGTTCTAAGTAGCCATCAACTAGTAGTAAGATGTTCCACTTTAAACACACCAATCACCTGTAAAATATATCTGGTTTGAAAATATTGCAGTTGGGGCCGGCGCTGTGCACAGTAGGTTAATCCTCCACCTGCGGCGCTGGCATCCCATATGGGTTCTGGGTTCTAGTCCCAGCTGCTCCTCTTCCAACCCAGCTCTCTGCTATGGCCTGGGAAAGCAGTAGAAGATGGCCCAAGTGCTTGGGCCCCTGCACGTGCGTGGGAGACATGGAAGAAGCTCCTGACTCCTGGCATCGGATTGGCGCAGCTCCGGTGATTGTGGCCATCTGGGGAGTCAACCAACGGAAGGAAGCCCTTTCTCTCTGTCTCACTCTCACTCTGTAACTCTACCTCTCAAATAAATAAAGAAAAAAGAAAAAGAAAAATATTGCAGTGACAAAAATGACTCTTAACATTGAGATACTTCACTGTGAACCTGAGCAAATCACTTAACCTCTTGCATCCTCAGTTTTCTCATCTGCACAGTTGCAATGACACCAGCCCGACCTCACGGCTGCTGTGATAATTAATTCATCTCTGCAGAGAGAACACCATATTGGAGGAATAGAAAGCGGCTAAGAGGTGCATGGAAAAAAAATTGTTCTAGTCAAATGTAGTGCTTCTAAAATGTCAGTTACCACAGGAGGAAAAATTACTATTGAAACATTTTGCAATGCTGTAAATGCAACTTGCACTAAGTAAAGTTATCACTGCTAATCCTACCCACACAATTTTTCTACAGAGACTATCTCAAGGTCGGAATGACAACTTCTAGTGTCACCTGGTTGTCAGCTATTTTGTCCCTCCAATTGCCCTCAAATTCTTGGGGAGAGCTATAGTAACACTTTCAGAAGTGCAATGGAGACACACGTGAATGACTATTTACAAGTAAATAGGTAGCACGGACACCAAAACAAATCACTGAGAAACACAAAGTTGGGACCAATATATGCAATCCTACATGAGAAACTTGAAGGTGATAGCTTGAATTCTGAGTGTAACAGCCCTTGCTTAAAAATCAGCATTGCAGCAAGCAAGTGAGTTCAGTATTCAGAACACCATGCGGGCTTTTTCTGAGATTGTTTTTTCTATGAAGTTAATGCAGTCAGATCCCTGAACCTGCAGGTTCCACATCCGTGGAGTAAATGTTCAAAAAACTTGTACCTGTACTGAACATAAGTGGACTTTTTTTCTTGTCATGATTCCCTAAATAATCCAATCTAACAACTATTCACATAGCATTTACAATATTAGATTTTTTTTTTTTTTTGACAGGCAGTTAGAGAGAGAGAGAGACAGAGAGAAAGGTCTTCCTTCCTTTGGTTCACCCCCCAGATGGCCGCTACGGCCTACACGCTGCGCCGATCCGAAGCCAGGAGCCAGGTGCTTCTCCTGGTCTCCCATGCGGGTGCAGGGCCCAAGCACTTGGGCCATCTTCCACTGCCTTCCCGGGCCACAGCAGAGAGCTGGACTGGAAGAGGAGCAACCAGGACAGAACCGGCGCCCCAACCGGGACTAGAACCCGGGGTGCCAGCACCACAGGCGGAGGATTAGCCTAGTGAGCCACGGCGCTGGCCTATGCATTAGATTTTAAAGCTTGTCTGGAGATGGCTTAGAGTGTATGGGAGGATGTGGGTGGGTTATGTGCAAATACTAGGCCATTGCATACCAGCAACTTGAGTATCTGCCAATTATTGGCATCTGTGGGGTGTCTCAGGACCAGTCCACCAAGGAGACCAAGGGCTGACTGCATCCAGCCCTGAAACAGACACAGTGAATCCAGATCACCTGCTTCCTAGTGATCAAGTCCGAGTTCCCGCAGAATGTGTCTGCTGTCAAGCCCCAGGCCAGCAAAGCCGAGCCATATGCTCAACCCAGCTCTTTCTCTAAAATAAGAACTGCAAGCAAACCAATGCCCTCTTTCACAGCCTGGGAAGGAGCAACTTCTCAAAAACACAAGGGCTCTGTGTCCTCGCCGAGAAGTCCGCAGTGAGAAAGCGGAAGGAGCAGAGGGCAAGTGCAGGTCACTATATCTCTGAGGGGCCTTGTTTCCAGAGTGGTCACATGGGGCTGCTTCCTCTGCCCACTGTTTTCCCAGAGTGGTTGAAAACTGTGCGACTGCGTGAAGCAGGCTGGAGACAGAATCCACAAGCTCCCAGTCATGCTGGGCCGTCTCAGGCATACACGTCCAGAGGGCAGAGCCTGCTTAACTTACGACACATGTGAAGGTGAGGAAGACATGGGGGATATGCGGCCTCTTTCTTCCCACCAGCACCCCACCACTCACCGAGTCCTCCGTGTGCCATGGGAAGAGCTCTCTCTCTCTCTCTCTCTCTTGCTTTCTCGCTCTCTCGCTCTCTCTTTCCCCCCAAGGTCTCACTGGCGGTACATCCTCCATGCACTGTGCCCCACTGGAGGACCCTCCCACGCTCATGGGAGGAGGAAAGAGCTCTCTAAATGGAAAGAGCCTTGAGAATACGTAAGGAAGTTCAGCACAGAGCCCTGCAAGGCTCATTCCTTAGCCACATGAGATCAGACTCTGAGGAGACCCCCATCCCAGTTATTCCTGAGAGACATCTGGAGGGTGGTCCTGCTGATACGGAGCCCTGAGTTGATGCCAGGCAAAGACCTGGCAATGTGTGACCCCCCCAGCCACCGTCACGGCAGCAGTGGGCACAGCCGGGGCTGTGGGGGGTGTCTGCCTGCTGACATGTCTCCACATTGATGCTGAAGTGGGAAAGGCACAATGCGTGCTTCTTCCCTGAATTTCCAACCAGGCTGCTGCTGCTGCTGCTGCTGCTTCTTCTTCTTCTTCTTTTTTTTTTTTTTTTCAGGCAGAGTGGACAGTGAGAGAGAGAGAGAGGGACAAAGAGGCAGGCTTCTCTTTTTAAGAGAAAATGACTTTAGCCATTTTATTTCAGTGCATCACCGCCAAGAGATAGATTTCTGTGTCGCCCTTCTTCCCCGTATGAGGGTCAGGCTGACACAGCATTGGACAAATTGGACAGACTCGCTTCAGTTCCGAGCTCTGCTGCATTGAAACCTCAGGAAAACAGACTTGATTGCAATCAAAGAGTTACGGGATGTACAGTTCCCCTAGAGTGGAGGACACTCACATCCCCTACAATAGTTCCTGGCCTGACTCCCACTTGCAGCTTCCTACTGACGCATACCCTGGGATGCACAGCTCAAGCAGCTGAGTCCCTGCCACCCATGGAGGAGACCCGGATTGGGCTCCTGCCTACCGGCTTTGATCTGGCCCAGCCCTGGCCATTGTACATATTTGGAGAGTGAGCAGTGGATGGGAGCTCTGTCTATCTGTTTGTCTCCCTCTCTTTCTCTCTCAGATTCTCAAATAAAAGTAATTTTTAAAGATTTTATTTATTTATTTATTTGAGAGGTAGAAGGGGAGAGACAGGGGTTTTCCATCCACTGGTTCACTCCCAAAATGGCCTGCAATGAAGGCAAGCAGCCAGAGCTTCTTCCGGGTCTCCCACGTGGGTGCAGGGGACCAAACACCTGGGCCATCTTCTACTGCTTTCCCAGGCCAGAGCAGAGAGCTGAATTGGAAGTGGAGCAGCCAGGAGTCAAACCGTTGCCCATATGGGATGCCGGCACCACAGTGCTGGCTCCCAAAAAATGTTTTAAAAAGACAAAATTTGATTGAAGACATGAAGGCGACTCATATTCCAAATGCTTGTCACAGTGCAGAGAAGAAAAGGTGTTTGCTGTTTACTAGTGGTAGTCATTGTGACGATGTTGACACCGGGATCTAGAGTGATGTCTGAGTACGGCGGGACCCAGCAGGACCAAGAGAACACCAACAGCAGGGGGACGGGGAGAAGAAGAGGACAGCCAGGTGCCCACTTCAACCTGTCATCAGGTGTGCTTAGGGCAACCTGAAGGGAGAGTGAGCCAGTGGACGGATCTCTTTCTTTGTCACTCTGTTTTTCAAATACATAAAATACATCCCAGTAAATAAGTCTGACCTGAGTTGTGACTAAGGACAGTGTTAAATCTGTCTACTGCCCCTCCCATCAGCAGTCAGCACAGCGTGCCCTCTGGGCTTCTCTGCTCTCAGAACTGCCTGTGTAGCTTTTCTGCCCTGTCGCTCCACCTGAAGCGGCCAGTACACTGCAGTACCTGGTGACGTCCCGCTCTTCGCCTGTCCCTTCACCCACCACCCAACTCACCCGGCAGGCTCTCACACCTTCTGCCACAGCTCTCTTCCAGGAATCAGACCACTGTTTTAAAAGCTGGTTTCAGTGATTAATGGAGGCTTCATGGTTTTCTCCCATAACAACACATTCATGGTCAATATTGTAAATTACCGGTAGGGATACCTTAATCTAATATGGATCTGAAGAGAAGCTGCTTTTAATCAGAGCTATTCTCAGTACTCTATAAACAAGCCCATGTGTTCTTACCTTCTGTGCCTAGGAATAGAATCTACCTGCACACAAGTTAAGAGCACTCTTATTATCAAAGCAGTCTCTAAATCCTTGGATTTGTTCATGACTAAGCTACTGTTATATTGAGACTTTTTGAAAAGATTTATTTATTTATTTGACAGAGTTACACAGAGAGGAAGAGAGATATAGAGAGATTTTCCATCCACTGGTTCACTCCCCAGATGGCCGCAATGGCCAGCACTGGGCCAGACCAACACTAAGAGCCAGGAGCTTCTTCTGGGTCTCCCATGTGGGTGCAGGGGCCCAAACATTTGAGTCATTTTCTGCTGCTTTTTCCAGGTGATTAGCAGGGAGCTGGATTGGAAGAAGAACAGCTGGGACACGAACCAGCACCATATGGGATGCGGATTACCCCACTACGCCACAACACCAGCCCCAGAGATTTTTTGGTAACATCCCCAGGCTCAGTTTTCCCTATCTGCAAAATGGGCATATAACATAAACCCATTCTCTGTCTCTTAGGTACCTCTTATCCTAAATGAACGAGTTCATGATAAGCCAGTGTGCAGGGAAGACCAGAGAGCACGGTTGTGTTGACTGCTGATGGGAGGGGCAGTAGACAGATTAACACTGTCATTAATCACAACTCAAGTCAAACTGAGCAGTTTGAGCTGTGTTTCATAATCCCGGTAGCATATCAGAATGAATTGGGATTTATTTATTTATTTACTGGGATTTATTTTATTTATTTGAAAAACAGAGTGACAAAGAAAGAGATCGTCCCTCCATTGGTTCACTCTCCCAAATGGCTACAACAGCCAGGGCTGGATCGGGCGAAAGCTATAAGCCAGGTACTCCATCCGGGTCTCCTATGTAGGTGACTGGGGCCCAAGTACTCGGACCATTATCAGCTACATTCCTGGGCACATTAGTAGGAAGCTGGATTGGAAGTAGAGCAGCTGGGACTCCAAGCAGTGCTCTGATACGGGATGCCAGCATTGCAGGCAGTGGCTTAACCTACTGCACCACAACGCTGGCCTCAGGATTTATTTTTTTATACCAACTGTTAGAATCTACCCTCTATGATTCTGATCAAGTGATGTGGGTCGGGATCTGAGTGTCGGCATTGTTTCAAAAAGCACTTGAGGTGATTGTCTTACGCAGCCAAGGCTGCAAACCACTGCCTTAGAATACCACTGCTAATAAAACAAGCAGGTATAAAATGGCATCATATGGGGCGTGTCTTGGCTGTGACCCCAAGCTGAGGCCAGCTCTATATTCTGGAAGCGCTCAACAACAGAGGCTTGATAAATTTCACACATGGTTGTGGTTGAGGGGATTGAACTCTTGGACAGAAGCCAAGAACCACAAGAATCACTAAACTGTGGCTTGGAGCAGCCTTCAAAAATCACCTCCATCAATCCTCATCGCTGTGTGAGCACTGGCCCTTCAGCTTATGACTCCGGGCTTGTTTTCCTGTTGAACAAGTGGGCACACGATGGTGTCATCTGGGTCTGTTCCTCTGTGATTCTAAGCGTGTCTTCCAGCAGCAGGGGAAAGAGCAGCCACAGGTCCACACCCAGGTGAGTAGCGGCTCTGCAGCTGCACTGGAGCCCTCCAACTCCAGCCCTCTCTGGCCAGCCTGGGCTCCCCAATCAGCAGCCAAGGCTCCAGCTGTGGGGCCTGTGTCCTCCCAGCCTTCCGGGGCAGGGTGAAAGACTGCGTGTGATTCTTGTAAAGGTGGCCCAGTGGGGCTGGCGCTGTGGCATAGCCAATAAAACTGCCGCCTGCAGTGCCGGCATCCCATATGGGTGCCAGTTCGAGTCCTGGCTGCTCCACTTCCAATTCAGCTCTTTGCTGTGGCCTGGGATAGCAGTGGAGGATGGCCCAAGTGCTTGGGCCCCTGCATCCGCATGGGAGACCTGGAAGAAGCTCCTGGCTCCTGGCTTCGCATCAGCTCAGCTCTGGCCATTGCGGTCATTTGGGGAGTGAACCAGTGGATGGAAAACCTCTGTCTTTGGTTCCACTGCTCTGTGTAACTCTGTCTTTCAAATAAAAACAATAAATCTTAAAAAAAAAAAAAAAAAAGGCGGCCCGGTTTATGCAGCCGCAGGCCCAATGTTCTCTCTGCTCCCCAGCCAGCATGAGGCCTGACTGCTGCTGGTATCTGCACAGGAAGTGGTGGAATGCGGGAGTTTACACGACGCCAGTGTACGGCATCTTCCGGGCCAGGCCCGTGGAGCCCAGCCAGTGGATGCCGGCCACTGTGCCGCCCCTTCTCAGCAGCCTGGCCAGCCCTGGGTTCCTGTTTTGTGCTTTTCTCAGACGCTGGCCTCTGAATGGAGCTTGAACAAGTCGGCCAGAAGAGCAGCTACAGATGTTTACTGCTTGCTTCCTGTGCAGCAGCTCCATCCTAGGAATGCCAGACTCAGTTCTCTCCCGGCTTCAGACTCTGACCACAATCATCCCAGCTGGCCCCTAGGACAAACTGTTCTACCCAGGGCACAGCCTTACTGGAAAGCCACAAACCTGCCTCAGACTTGAGAGAGAAGCACCCTGGAGAAGCCACGCTCGAGGCTGGGAGGCCAAAGAGTGCAAGGGGCTCTCCAGTGCACAGCGAAGATCTTTGCAGGTTTTCAGCAGGTGCGTGGGCAGAATCGGGGAAGGTGAAGGTGATGGGTGTGGCTCGACAGAACGAAGACTCAGCAGAGCCTTGTCTCTGAAAAGCATTTGGAAGCAGACGGGAGCTGGAATGGGCCTGTCTCCCAGCACTGCCTTCTAGAACGTGGCCCCAGGTGAGTTCCAGATGCATGCCCCATCATGCATCTCCTGGATGCCCTTTTTGGGACATTGAGGGTGGTGGCATCGGAACCCACATGCCCCTCCCTTGTCCGCCTATGGACTCAGGAGGACCTGGGGATGTGGAAGAACGCTGTTTCTTTGCCCCCTTATCTGGAGGGTGGCACAGGAACAAGGGGGTGGCAACTTCAGCAAAGTCGGATTCTCGACAGTGAAGAGGAGCTGACAGTCCCAGCCTCCCCAGTGCTTCAGAAGCTGCAACGGCGCTCTGCTGTCTGGCATCTGCACTCCCAGACCAGGAGGGGCCGGGACACACACGTGGCACTGCCACGCAGCCCAGGCTCTGGCTCGCAGACCCAGCGAGCTCCTCTAGCAGGGCCTCAAAAGAAACCGACTGCACGGTCTCCTCTTCGACCAAATGATCTTGAGACTTCGTCGCTTCCACTCTCAAATCAACTAGCACCCTCCGGGTCAGTGCGAGGGATCTGCACACACTCACCAACACAAGCCAGGTATCCAGTAAGGGTTTCCTGCGTGTGGATCTAATTAAAATACAGGTAAACTCCAGGAAGACACATATTTGACCGCGTTTCTTAGTGATGTCCCAAATTTCCTCCTCAATCTCTGTAAGCAGGGCTATCAGAGGATGCTTTGTGCTGTCCCCCACCCCATCAATCCTCAAGGGACTGTGTGGTGGAGCAGGGCCTGCGCACCAGGAATAAACAATTCTGACCCTTCTGTCTGTGGGTACTAAGTCTTGGCCACAGGCAGGGGGCACTAACCAGACTGAAGAAAACGATTAAAGTAAAAGGCGTGAACAGGTGGCACACATATGCTGGGGAAGGCTACGCCCTCACTAGGAACCTCAGACTGCACACCACAAATTAAGCCATGGCTTAATTCTAGGGTTCAGGTAAACTCATGGGAGCAATGGGATGGAAAGTACTAAACACGTACAGCTAATACCTGCTGGAAATCACGCCAGGGGTCTAGAGAGCTGAAAGCACATTCAAGAGCATCTATCGGCCTTGGATTTTATCTCACTGGTTTCTGTCCTGAGTGTATTACATTATGCATGGCATAGTAGTACAGCAGTACATGTATACACAGTTCTCCAGTTGTCCCACAGTATCCACGCTGGGTTGGATACTAACATCCTGGGGTATTAAAGTCCCTTAGATAAAATGGTGCTGTATCTGCACATAGCCTGTACCCATCTTCCCATATATTTCAAATCATCCCTAAATTACTTACAGTACTTGACTCAAGGTAAATGCTAGGTAAATAGTTGCCATACTATATTGTTTAAGGCATAATGATAAGAAAAATTAGAACATGTACAATGCAGACACATTATTTTTTTCCTTAGTATCTCTGAGCCGTGGTTGGTTGAATCCATGGATGTGGAACTCATGGATGTTGAGGTCTGGCTGGAATTTATACAGATATGTCTACAGTGGGAGGATGCTCTGACAACTCCTGCTGATGGCATACACAGTCAGAAGAGCTTGGAGACAATCTAACTAGAAGAATGGAAACAACCATAAATGACTCAACTAAGCAGAATAAAGGGTCCAAGATATTACCAAGGGTCTCTGCCAGGCTGACCTGATGTAGAAAGGGAATAGTCAGCTGTCCACTGGGAAAGTCCCTCCCCCAGGGATTGCCTAGTGCCCTATAGTCTCTTAAAGGATAGATTCACTTGCATTTTGGTGAGACAGAAAAGAATGTCATCATCCTGACTCTTACCGTCTAAGCCCGCAACCAGTCTCTGGCGTCTCATTACACTTAGCAGCCTTTGTTCTCAGGCCCTCCACACACAAGCATGGCCCTGAAAAGCTAGGAGGGGCTGCCGCCCAGCCCACGCCCAGCTCATCAACCCACGTGCCTCAGAGAGGGGCCGTCCGTTGAAGGAAGAACCGTCTTTTATGAATTCTCACAAACGCTCTGTAAGCAATAGCAATGTCCTTGCTTTTTGCTCTTTATTTGAATACTATTTTCCCATTTGGTTTTGCTTTTATAAATACAGTTTATTGCTTGTTTTGTCTTAGTCTAATAATAAGTCTGAGAACCCTTGAGCAATGTGCATTATTGTAAGGGTGGCAGAATGAGGTTCTGACTTCAGCAGGTGCAGCTTTTCCCAAACACAGCCCTCCAGGTGTCAGCACATGACGCTGAATATCGTTTCCTGCCCATGTGGCTGAGACGCCCTGAGGCCATCCACATGGAAAACACAAAACGAAATGTTTGAGTCCTGCCTCTGGCTTACCAGCCTGTCTCACATATCTCTGTTGGACATGGTCATTCAGCAAAGGAAAGTTCCAGGCCACACATCCTGAGGCCGCTGAGAGTAACACAGTCGCTTTGAGTGCTGCAGCAGGTGGCCACAGACGTGCACACGTGTCGCAGCTGACTCCACTGATTTATGTGCTGGGAAATGCAGTGCCTTCTCCCCCAAAGTCCTCTCCCTCTTAGGGAGTAACCGCCTCTCTCAAGATGTCCCTATGGCACTTCCCGGGATGCTCAGGCATCAGGTTTGGGCTCCTTCATGGATTTGACAAATTCCTTGACTTCCTCTTCCAAGACCTTGTTCCTCCGCTCCACATCCTCCCGGGAGCGCTCCACGTTGCGGAGCCTGATTTCCAAGGCTGCGAATTTCTTCTTTTCCTGCTCCAGCTCTTCATTGAGCCTCACCACCTTAGCCCAGACATCGTAATTTTCCTTCTCCAGACTATGAGGAAAGAAAGTGAACAGGGCATTAGCTCTAGAATCTTCCTTCACTCTGGCCCCAACCTCCGCTCATTTTCCTCCCCAATCACAGAACCATATGCAACTCCTATCTCTTATTCACGCTCCTCCTCCTACATAAAGACTTCCCAGTAAATCTGAATTCCCAGAACATATCTGAGCCCCTCCTTCCTCACATAACACTCCTATTATTGCTATTGATGTTCATGTTGTTTTGTGTGTTTTATGTCATCTTTGTAAGAAGGGACCCCTGATATATACGTATTGTTATTAGTCCTGCTTGACGAGCTGTGGAAGCCCCATCCATGCTCTCATCTCCTCATGCAGGTTCAAGGGTGAGCACAGGCCATCACACTCTCTATTAAAGTCCTCCTGGGGACCAGGATTCGAAGAAGCAAAGGCAATCACCCTTTGGGAAGCAATGGTCCCAGGTGCCCCACCCTCACTTCTGAATCCTACTGCAAGTGGAATATATGTAAGATTCTGCATTCCTTGGATTTTCATTGCTATTGACCAAAATCCTTATGTGGTCCCAGGTAACCCCCTGCCAGGTTGAATTAACCCTTAGGAGTGAGTACACAGAGATCATTTTTAAGCCAAAGAAGGGAATTTCAGATGAGTGTGGGAGATTGTGTGAATGGAAATTTGCTTAGCGTTTCATTCATTGGTGAGCAGCCTCCCAACAGTCCTGGCTCCCCAGACAGCCTGCCCGTGCTCGTAGGGAGACTCGACTCCCATCTGCTCTGGGTGCTTTCCTCAAGGGCCTTGGCCTGTTCTGTGTAATGGCCCTCTTCAGAGCCTTGCCCACGCCTGCCTACTCCTTCTGAAAGCTAACTTGGGCTCCTTCCTTCTAACTGGCTCATTTCAGATCTAATTTTCTTCTCCAAGTTCTCCATGCCCATCTGGCTCTAGCGGAGATGACGGATTCCCTCTTGACCACTGAGCACGGGGCAGAGGTGGAATCCACACGGGCTCAGGTGCCTGGCGGACCCGGGTTCACATCCCAGCCCACCTACGTATGATGAGTTCTGAGACCTCCAGGAGGGTTTTACACCTCCCGAGGCCCATTTCTGCTGTTCAATGGGGCTTCCCTATTTCACAGGACGGCTGTGGGGACTGCATGAGCAGACAGCACTGAAGCACAAAGCTAAGAGTGGGCACCGCTCACTGTCAATCCCCCTCACTCCGCTGTGGTTGAGCTCCCTGACAGGTGGGCTCCGAGGTTCTGTCCTACCCAGCAGGAGTGGCCGCCGCCATGGCAGCTGGTTCCTCTCCTACTCTCTCAATGCCACCAGATAAGAACACACTGTGATTCTTCTCTGAGACAGCTGTAGTCACTGCCAAGACATCACACAAGTCTCATCATCCTACCAATGACTGCTGTCAGGTTCTCAGGCACAGAAGCTATGTTTTGCTTCTAAATGGGCAGCTCTGGACCAAGAAGTATCCATAAATATGAGAACCCCGCTCATTCACATTTCACTCTTTTTTTTTTTTTTTTTTTGACAGGCAGAGTTAGACAGTGAGAAGGAAAGATAGAGAGAAAGGTCTTCTTTCCATTGGTTCACCCCCCAAAATGTCCGCTACGGCCTGCGTGCTGCACCGATCCGAAGCCAGGAGCCAGGTGCTTCCTCCTGGTCTCCCATGCAGGTGCAGGGCCCAAGCACTTAGACCATCCTCCACTGCCCTCCCGGGCCACAGCAGAGAGCTGGACTGGAAGAGGAGTGACCAGGACAGAATCTGGTGCCCCAACCGGGACTAGAACCCTGTGAGCCACGGCGCTGGCCTATGCATTAGATTTTAAAGCTCATCTGGAGATGGCTTAGATTGTATGGGAGGATGTGTATGGGAGGATGTGGGTGACCCATGAATCACAAAGCAAGTGCCAACCACCCCAAAGCTTCCACCTTACTCAAGCTTTCTGGAGGTCACCAAAACCCTACTGTGCTCTGGCTTCCTGTTTCTCCCCCCTCACCCTGTAGCCTTGCCCTCCCTCTGCTCCAGCTCTCGCCTGCTATCCTCCTGTGGCCTCTGCCCCTCTGCTTCTCTCCACCTGCCATGCTTTTTCCATACCTGTGGACCTGACTTGGTTGCAGAATCAATGAACAGCTTTGAAATGAAACAATTAAAAAGCTCCTTTTAATCCATCAAAGCATGTTGATCCTTAAAGAGCCACTATTTATTTGGAAACTAGTGATTGAGTTACTTAAAGATATACATTTCTGGAAATCAAATCATAAGTTTAGAGCTTACACGAATTTAGTCATCTCATCACTTCCCTTATCCTTTCTCCCTTGGGCCTGCTGCATGTCAACTGTCTAAACTGAGTTTTACAGCGTGAATTCTTTGGGAGATGAGAACAACTCCTCTGCTCAAGACGGAAGCCAAGCGCTACCTAGCGCTCCTCCGCGTGTGACTCACTTTTTAATCTGCTCCTCGTACATTTGCTTCTGGGATTCGATCTCCTCTCGCAGCTCCTGGACCACCCTCTGCAGGGACTGAAATTCCTCTTCTTCAGAGTTCTTTTTTCCAGGCCCTGTTTCAGAGTGTGGGCTGGCAAGAGGATCTCTCTTGGAGTCCCAGGCAGGGGGAGAGAGGGCGCCCACTTCCTGGCGAGAGGACCTTGGTGGGGCCGGGACATTGTCATAGGTGGAAGTCCGCTGGGAGTTGGGAAGGGGCCGTATGTCTTGAGACATGGTTCTCCTGTGCCCCTCCCCTGCCTTGGCTTCTGTGGAAGGCACCCAGAATTCATTCTTAAAGATCTCCACTTTGCCGCCGTTGGCGCCTTGGAAAGCTGACGTCAAGAAACATTTTCGGTTAGGGAGCGTCTGAGTTCTTTTACGTGACTGCAGCTTCCAGTCTCCTGGCTTGTCCCTGGGTGCTTTGCTGCTGTCCTCTGGAAGTCCATCACTAGGCTGCTTTCCGAAGGGGCTGCTGGCCTCAGAGTCGCTTGTCTGGAAAACAATGGCCATGGTCATTGCAAGAGTTTTCCCCACCCTGTCTTGTGCTCCCCAGATCAGGGCTTGGAAGAAGTATTTCTTGGTTGCACACCTACGACGCGCTTAAACAGAAGCGTATTTCTTAATTTATCACATCCGTTGATTACCTGCCCGGTACTTTTTTTTTCCCTGAAGGACATTGAACTGACAGCAACCCTCGCTCTACAGATGAAGTGAGTCCACTGTTTGTTGGTGGTAAAAGAATTCTACACTAGGATACTTTTATAACCCCAGAATGGGAAGTCTTTCAAACTGTGACTCAAAATCCAGAAGCCATAAAAATTCAATGAATTCAACAACTGACATAGATTTCCTTGACCTTTTGAATTAAAGGGAACAAAAATAAAACAAGCAAGTCACCACATGCTAATTCAAAAATAAATGACAAAATGGCAAAAGTATTTACAATGCATATCACAGGCAACTCTAACCTAGAAAGCTTATAAAAATCATTTCCATAAACCTCACAGCCAATGTAAATATGGATAAAGGACAAGATTAGACAGGACACAGAGGGAAAAAATGTGACTGATTTTTACACACAAGGAAAACCTTTCTCATAATGGCAAACTCAAATTTAAATTCAAATTTACTGGAATACCAATTCTCTCCTATCACACGGGTAAATCCTCTAAATTTGACAATTCACTGTTGGCAAAACTATAGGGAAACAGGTTCTCTCAGGCACTGCTTGCAGATATGTAAGTGGCATAAATTCTAATAAATTTTATAAAAACTACACATTTAAATCCATTTGCCCTCTGAACTAGCAGTTACACTTCTGGGAGTTTATTGCAGAAAAACATCTGCATGGATATGTAAGGAGATATGGTCAAATTTCCTCATTGCAACCTTGTTTGTAGTACAAAGGACTGAAAACAACCTGTTCTTCTATAGGGGCTGGGTAAGTAGAACATGAGACATGCACAGAATAGGATGTTATACACCTGCCAAAAGTGAGGTGATGGCCTACTGACACTGGGAAGTCTCAGGACTTGGTGAGAGTCTGCTGAGTGCAAAATGCCAGCTATAAAGTGCGTGTGTACGGAAAGAGAAAGAAAGTGACATTATAACACATTTTGTGTAAAAAGTGTGGTAAGTAAGAGTTTGCTTCCATGTGCACTTACATTTGCATAAACAAAGACTGGAGGGAAAAATAAAAAACTAACAGGGGCAGGGAGGGTTGGGGTAAGTGGAGACAGGTGAAGCAGCAGGACTTCTCAATGTATACCTTTTCCTATCTTGATTCTTTGAACCAGGTGTATATATTATGTAAATGTAAAATCAGGGGCCAGTGCTGTGCCATAGCAGGTAAAGCTGCCGCCTGCAGT